ATCACAGTGTCAAACATTTTTTATTGAGTCAGTTTACAGTGCTTTGGATGGGAATTAATAATGATTACAGATTAAGTTGTCAATGTCTTTATAATATAAGACATTGTTGATTGCCTGGATCATTTGCATGTGTTACTTGCATTCAACACTTGGAGCGCCAAAGTCAATTTTCTGTCACCATTCACAAAATAAAATGTTACATTTTTGACCCAGTTTTTTCAAAATTTTAATCAATACCTGTAACTCATGAAAAAATTATTCCAAAATGATCCAAAACAATTTTGAATGCTCAAAAATAGGCAAAAGGTTGTTCTAAAATTGTGGCAAGAAAATGATGGTGCTGAAACAATTGATATGTTTCACTGTTAATATTTTTTCCAGGTTGCGATTCAGCCACTCAGGGAAGCAACTGACCTCAGAGAAAATGTCCAAACTACAATGACCAGATTCAAAGAAATGTGTGGCTTAGCATCAATAGCGAATATTAAACAGTGTATCCGAGTGTTGGCTACAAGGTTACAAACAAGTTCTATTGACAATTTGGTACTCATGTTACAAATGAAAGACAAGGTAAGAAAAAATGAAATTTTGATTTCTCTTATTGTTGTATGCATGTTCAACCAATCAGAGCTCATGTTAAAAGCAATGGCACATCAGTTTGTTTGTTTGTTTGTTTGTTTGCAACACTTTACTCACTCAGTTTTTCAATGTTTAGTTTCCAGAACTCCAAGCAGAAGGAAACGTTCCGGAAATGTTGAAAAAAGTTTTAATTGCATTTGATCAAGTAAGATATATATTTTAACATGCTTCGTTGTCTCTCTATCTTCTAAAAGTACTGAATCTGACATTTGGCACTCAATAATGTTACCTTGTGTGCTAATTTTGACATGAAAAACACTAAACTTTGACATGAAAAACATTGAACTTTGACATGAAAAACACTGAACTTTGACTTGAAAAACACTGAACTTTGACATAAAAACACTGAACTTTGACATGAAAACCCTGAACTTTGACATGAAAAACACTGAACTTTGACATGAAAACACTGAACTTTGACATGAAAACACTGAACTTTGACATGAAAAACACTGAACTTTGACTTGAAAAACACTGAACTTTGACTCGAAAAACACTGAACTTTGACATAAAAACTCTGAACTTTGACATGAAAACACTGAACTTTGACATAAAAACACTGAACTTTGACTTGAAAAACACTGAACTTTGACATAAAAACACTGAACTTTGACATGAAAACCCTGAACTTTGACATGAAAAACACTGAACTTTGACATGAAAACACTGAACTTTGACATGAAAACACTGAACTTTGACATGAAAAACACTGAACTTTGACATGAAAACACTGAACTTTGACATGAAAACACTGAACATTGACATGAAAACACTGAACTTTGACATGAAAAACAACTTTTACATGAAAACACTGAACTTTGACATAAAAACACTGAACTTTGACATGAAAACACTGAACTTTGACATGAAAAACACAACTTTTACATGAAAACACTGAACTTTGACATAAAAAACACTGAACTTTGACATGAAAACACTAAACTTTGACATGAAAAACACTGAACTTTGACATGAAAAACACTGAACATTGGCATGAAAAACACTGAACATTGGCATGAAAAACACTGAACTTTGACATAAAAACACTGAACTTTGACATAAAAACACTGAACTTTGACATGAAAAACACTGAACTTTGACATAAAAACAATGAGCTTTGACATGAAAAACACTGAACTTTGACTTGAAAAACACTGAACTTTGACATAAAAACACTGAACTTTGACATGAAAACACTGAACTTTGACATGAAAACACTGAACTTTTACATGAAAACACTGAACTTTTACATAAAAACACTGAACTTTGACACATTAATTGCTGACCTTTTGCCACTTACCGGTAATTTACTCAACTTTGTTTATGTCAGAGAATAAACAGTGATTTTTGACACTGAATTTTGAAATGTGTAAAACACTGAACTTTGACATGAAAAACACTGAACTTTGACATGAAAATACTGAACATTGACATGAAAAACACTGAACTTTGACATGAAAAACACTGAACTTTGACATGAAAAACACTGACATTTGACATAAAAACACTGACATTTGACATGAAAACACTGAACATTGACATGAAAACACTGAACTTTGACACATTAATTGCTGACCCTTTGCCACTTACTTATGTCAGAGAATAAACAGTGATTTTTGACACTGAATTTTGAAATGTGTAAAACAATGATCTTTGTCATGAAAATACCATCCAAGTTGTCATGGAAATTCCATCCAAGTTGTCATGAAAATACCATCCAAGTTGTTCATAAATGTCAACTTTGATGTTTCAGATGGTCACAGAGAGTAGGACACTAATTGAGAAGACTGACGAAATTGTTGACAGGATAGTTCTCTGTCAGAGAAATGGACTTGAATGGCATGTAAGTATAAAGTGTAGATCATCCAATGCATTTTATTTATACCTAGAATGTACTGTTTTTACATGAGTGTTCTTGGCCCGTTCCATGATTAAATTTTCATAATAATCGCTGTCGACGTTCTTCTCCAAATTTCCTTGGATTTGTTTTCTTTCGTCACTGCCATAGTTGACCCATGGAGGTAAAAAGAGACCTTTCTAGCGCCATGGTCGACCCCAAGATGGTTTCATAGTCGACTGCTTGAAGAGCGAGAAATTCAACAAAATTAAATTTGTGGACGATCGTAAATGGAATGCGTGTAACTGGTACCTCGGACTACTAATACTTGTATTACTAGTTTGAGCTTGTACTGAATGCAAGAGACTGTTTATATTTGCTATGGGTGGTGACTATTATGCAAATTATCTGTCTATTATGTCTTTGGCTGATTAATTAAAACATAACTTTCAAAACGTGACATGTGCTTTTGTTTTTAATTAACAAAAATTGATTTTTACACCCTATAAAAACATCCAATTCACTTTTTTTCCTACTGAGTGTTTGCTCTTTGTAGTCCAGCATTGAAAAATACAAAAAAGTAGAATTTTGTGTTTTCAAGCAAAAAACGTGTACAGCATCCTTAAACAGAAAACATAAACAAGATTAATAATGTATGTTTACGAATTTTTTTTCTTATTTAAGGAGGATCTTCATAGTCTGTGTGCAAAGGAAGGCCTAAAGGGGAGGAAAATGACTAAGGTATGAATTGAAAAATATTTCCTTAGACCATAACCATGTAATGCCAGCCTCCATTTGATATACAGTAAACTAATACATTTCACTAGTTAGCCAGCATAGAGATAGTGAAACATACTTTCTTCTCTGAAACTGTTGAACAGATAACTATGTATCGTGGACAGTAAGGCGATACATTATAATAGTGATAGCAGTGAAACATATGCCCCTTAGTATTTTTTTCTATTTTCTATTTTTTAGGCACAAGAGAATTTTGCATGGAATATCCGAGTATTGAAAGGTCAAGCTGACCTGCTCACAAGATCAAAGAAAGAATGTGAGGATTGTATGATACAGGTAAAGTTCATCTGATATTGAGAAGAAAACATAATGTAATGTTTCTATGACAACTAGTAATACATTTTGACATTTAACTGTTTGAGCGCCAAAGTCAACTGTAGGTCCCATCTACAAAATAGTTCCATTTACAGTCTGCTTGTTCCCTGTTTGAAATGTTGTGAAAATTTCAAAATTTTTGATCAAAAACTAGAAGCAATGTAACATTTAGTCCGTTTGGTCCAAAATTAAGATTGAATTCAGTGAAAATTCTAGAAAATGTGTACAAATTTACCTAGATTTAAGCGGGAAAAAAATTTGGCACTCAAAGGCTCATCAAAATGTGCACATGAATGTTTACATATTGATAGCGCTCAGTTTTTTAGAGAGCTGATAAAAACCAGTTGCTTGTTTACAGACAAGAAATTAAATTCAAACGATTATCAGGATTTGCTATTTTGATTGGTCATATTTAAAGATTTTTATGATGACAAAATACTGTTACCGCCATAAGCCTGGTTTCTGTTTTGAACTGCGTATAGAACAAAGTGCGCACACTGTAGGTCAACCATTCAGAGCACAGAATAACAATAAGCATTTATAGAATATGCACATGCAGAATTCTGACTTTATAGGTTCATTCTGAGAGAGAAATTTTGATCATTTTCACATTATGCACAATGTGCTTCTCTACAGTATGGCGTAATACTAGACAGATTAAAAATACATATCCCATAATTCAACGTTGCATATACAGTCTGATAACTACAGATTTATGTTGGCAAGCTCACGTTCGTATTTTCGGAATTATTATTCAGTGCCTCGAAAAAATCAGCTGAAGTTTAAAATAAATCCTAGTGAATTGAAGGAAGTATCACGAATGAGCAGAATTGCCACACCATCATAAACACAGCGTTCACGTGAAATAGGACAAATAGCACAAACAAAATTAAAGCAGAAGAGTTGTCACCTGCGCATACGCAGGAATTGATATCAACACATGCTAACAACGCAAAGGCTCATGGGTAGACGCTTGTTTGTAAACAATGATACACTATGGCCATCTGACGCATACGCAGGTGACGACTCCCCCACTTTAACATACAGTTGCATATATTTGTATTTGGAGTTATTTCGGCAAAAGGTCTTCTTTCACCACTCAGCTGAAATATACATGTGATATATAAATAATCCCCCGATATTTTCTGTTGGGTTGACGTCAGCAGACGTTTGTGATTACCGCCAGAGTAGCATCAATCCTCACCTGTGGCTCAGATTGATAAAAAACTCTGGTCATCAGTCATTCTGCTGATCTCAATCTAAAAGAAAATATCGGGGGATTATATGAAATATCGGTAATCGTTTTCTTGATAGAAGAGAGATAAAATTACAGATCTGTAAATACCCCGAACAGTTGAATCACTGGAATGAAATTTTGAAATTCAGTTTTAACTGAATGGTACTCCCCTGTTCATGTGCGAGGTGCAAATGCCATAGTAGTTTGAGTTGTCTGGTTGCTATGCTACTGAGCATTACTCTCTGAAGGAGATAGGTTTTTTGACCAATTTATATATATTAATTGCTGTTTCTTGCCCAGAAATAGATACTAAGATTTCTCAATTTATTTCATTTGTCTTGCTCATCATTGTGTAATGATAATTTTCTCACATTTTACATCATTTTAAACTTTGAATCTTTGGTACATTTGGTAATAAGATGTCTGCCTGGAGCAGCATACTACGTATGGCAAGACTTATAGCACCCCCTTTATCTGCATATGAAACTAACACTATCACACACACGGTAGCTTAGCAACAACAAAATTATGTACAGCTATTATCTAAACATTGTATACCCAAACCTTTTTTATGACTTATCTGAGCTTTATTTCCGTATCATTAATTCATACCTCTAATTTAATGACCTATAATGGAACTATGCTCAGACGATTCAATATTTGTGAATCAATTCCTGATTCCCAAATTACCGACATATCTGATGTACGGTAATTCTTTTTGTGCATGCATTACCCACAGTTAGCTGGCGCACACCTGGTATAAATAAAATAAATACGATATTTACTATATGGGGGCCGTCATCTTGAATGACGCATAAAACTAAATAAGAGACAAGTTGTGAAACGCATTTTTCAGATTCCTACAAATCAGGACAAAAATACCAATCTTTCACAAAAATACGGTCCGTTGGCATATTTGAAACAGTTTTCAAAAGATAGAAGAATGAGCGTGGGCAGCTGGATAAACTATATAAGACAGCTAAAAATGAACTGTATTAATAAGACTGTGACTGTGATTATAAGACGCTATCAAATCGGGAATCAGGAATTGTAATGCGACGGTAAATCAGTACTGGACAGTTAATTGGTCTGTCCTTCACTTATGACCACTACCACCAATATTAAATATATATTTCCGTTTTTTCTCTGTAGATCTTAGAAGCGGCCAATGCACTGGGACTTGTCAGACATACTCCAACCACTGTGTGATACTTGCTGAAAAAAAGCCATGCTCTGTATAAAATATGTGATGTGGGAAAAGTGTGTATACAAGTAGAAGTTTACTATGCAATATAGTGTTGCAAATAATTTTCACAGCATATTATTTTGTATTGTTGTCATGGTGATATTTTGTTTTCAGCATAAATTGATATACTCTAGTGTGCATGTAGTGCGATGCCTGCTTTTTTTTCAAGTTTTTATAGTTTGTTTTAAAACTCTGAAATTTATTTGATTTTTAAAGCAATTACGACTTTTAATAAAAAGAAATACATTGTGTATGTACTATTGCTCTTGTATAAGCAACAAAAAAAACACTCATTAAATGTCAAGGTATGAATCTTTCTAATTATCTAGCTGCCCTGATATCCCACAATTAACATAAATGTACATCACCTGCCATTTTGTAAATATGACAAAGGTCAGCAAAGAGAATCATGGGAAAATTATTTGCTGATGTCTTTAAATTATAAAAATGAGGTATCCTCCCTAAATTTATCCTTATCCTTCCAGTTTAATATGTAAAGAGAGAGAGTTTTAGTCTCCACGTACATTCCACTTCATTTGACTAAATTTTGTAGAATAGTACAGTTTACAGTTAGCTTTGTAGTCAAAAACACATTTATGTACATCTAGTCTAGCAATGATTGTTTAGATAGATCTCCAAGATTATTTCAATAATTTTTACTTGTGAAAATGTCAGCTGTGTATTTAAATCTTATAGTCACAAAATCCTTGTATTTTCAAGTATACACAGGATTGCAAAAATAGTTGTTTGCCAAGATGGCTGACCAGCAGAGCTGTACCAAGTAAACTAAAACATGATATACACAAGCCATTTACAAAACTTTTTTTTTTTAAAAATGTCATTAATAATTTTAGCTAATTTGATACATGCTAAAGACAAATATTTTCTCATTTTATTTTATCTCAAATTGTTGCAGTTCTGTTGATTCCCATCTGTGAGTTTTTGTGAGGGTTAGACCAATTAAGAATTAGGGGTCTTGGAAAAAGTACATGTCTGATAAAAAAAAATCACACCCATAGTCCCAACACACTTCTAATGAACTTTTCTATAATTTTGTTGTGCTCTATAATCAAATTCTCCAAACCAATAGATCAAGTCAAGTTAGTACAGCTGGTCATCCAATGGTATTTGGTCATGACTTTATGTGTATTCAGAATATCATGTTCAGAACTATAAAATTATTCATAGAGATTTGTATATTTATCTATTTATTTTTTATTTATTTATTTATTTATTTATTTATTTTAAAAAGGAGATTATGTCACATCTTTTTGGAATACAATCTTCTAAGTTACTGACCCTAAATAATGTGTGACATACCGGTACACAGTTTTTAATATTTCACAGTTTAACCTTTTCACCACCAGTTTTTATCACAAAATAGTTCCACTTATAGTCTGCACTCTCCTTAAGAAAATTGGGACAAAAATAGCCAAATTTTTGAGCAAAAACAGAAAATTTACTTAAATTTTGTCTGTTGGCTCCAAAATTAGGGTTCTTTTCCAGAAATATTAAAAAATATAAGAAAAAAGTGCAGGAAAATTTGGGCAAGAAATTCTTGGGGTGAAAAGGTTAACCTCTTGACCTTTGAGTGCCATGATTTTTCCTGCAATAATTGTGTGCAACAGTTTGCAAATTTGTTGGGTTTTTTTAATTTCTTTTGTTAATTTTGCACCAGATGAACATAATTTCCAATTAGATTTTGATCCATATTGTCTGTTTTGTAAAACGTGACAAAAGTTAACCCAGCATATTCTAAAGTCTAATTAAAGAACTTTTCACTATACATTGCAAATACAAAGAAGGCTTAATAATTAGATTTGTGGTTTTAGGAATTCTACTAAGAAAAACAAAGAAAACAAACTTTTATAGAATTTGCATTATTTTGTTATTTTACAAGGCTTGCTTTATAGATCTCACAGTACTTGTACATATTCAATGATTTTCACTCAGTTTTGGGTAATATTTATTGTATCAATATTTAATTTTTTTTATATATGTTAAAAATTATGGAAACCCCAGACTACTTTGTTGAACCCACTCAAAACAAAGTACTCACTGATATAATAAGTGTCAATTTAAAAAAAAAGATGATTTTTTGGCATCCATCCATCTATCCACCATTTCGTTTGAAAAATGGAACTATAGAGGGCGATCTATGAGAAAAGTAACTATAGGAGGGGATCTATACATACCTGATGGCTAACCAGTGTTTACATTTGCCAAACAATATATAGATCTACAATTTTTTGTTTAACTCTCAAAGAAACTATTAATTGATTGTGTGTAGATTTAATGTAACCAAAAAAAGCTTTTAATAATTTTAAAAAAATTCTCACAAATAAAAAAAAATTAGACAAGTCAAATATTTTTAACACTGCACACAGGGTGCACAATGGCGTATGAATTAATAGTTCAATAGAAAAAAAAATGTGTGTTACAATTGTAAATTTTCTCTGTTGTGCGAAAAAAAACTCTTTTTACATTGTGTGTAAACACAAATACAAGTGCAATAGATTGTAGAAAGCATTTTAAAAATTTTGTAAAATTTATTCATCCATATTCGTCTGTATGATATGTGTCAAACTGAATCCCCTTGTTTTCTTGGACAAGAGCATTTTATTAAATTTTCAATTGTGTAGCAGAAATAAAAAAAAACGCTCGTAGACTGTTAAAACTATAAAAAGTTGTGACGATTAAACGTTTTACAAAGTTACTCTATAAGGTATATTTCATTGTTCATGTTACCATGGCACTGAGCAAACAAAGCACATTTTTTTTAGCAGTGAATAGGCTAACGAAAAAGCACTGTATGATACTGTAAACTTCTTAATTTTTGCTCTTAGAGTTATTGCGATTAGATGATTTTATAGCATTCATAAAAACAAAATTTACTTGTTGTAAAGACAGCAAAGAAATTTTCACTGCTACATAATGTCATGATATTCAGATTTGAGATTTTTTTGTTTGGTGAAAGTGGTTTACAGTATATTAATTTTATACATTGTACGCAAATAGGTTTATTTTGTCCCTGGACCAGTTTTGAAAAAAAAACACTGTAATCATGAAATGGTTTTCAGATTTTTTCATCACAGATGTTACAAAACTGTGATGGCTGCTTATCTGAAGATGTAATGTATGCATGAATGTCTGCTTCATAGTTTATTTGACATTTTATCCTTTGTAGAATCTCTCAGTTCAACTGTATTCAGTTCATTTTCTACATTACTGTGAATTGGATGTATGAATTATGTAGCTATACTGGTAATAAAATGTATCAATATTATAACAATATCACTTTAAAGTCAGCATTTTTTGCCGGAGGGGTACTAGAGGAGGGGGGGGGGGGGCAAATTGAAATTTTATCACTTGATTTCCAATCTCTGTCCTGTGTATGTAGTTGCCATTCATGTTTGTCTTACTTCTGTCAGCGCAACCCAAGGTGGGTTGGACCAGTCCACATTCTGCACTTGTAATCATAACATAATTTTCTGGTCTCTGACGTCCCTTGTGAATAGCAAGTAGGACGCAGCTTACTAGTAATCGTCATATTGTTCCACTGGGCCGGGATTCCAGCCCTGGATTCACGTGACTTGTTTTAAAACATGCCAATTTTTGTTTTGCGTAAACAAGTCTGCATTAGTTATACAATAGGGATATGCCCATTCAGTCTGCCTGTTTAGACTTCATAATTGAGATGTTTCTAGTATTTCTCGTTATTTGCGCAACAACAAAAAAAAGGTTTATATTCACAGTAAAACCAAACCCTGTTCTATATATATATATATATATATATATATATATATATATATAGAAGGCCGTGGGCGCCCGCACTGACGCCAGGTAACCAAAGGAAATAGAACAAAGAATGAGAATGTGATGGACCAATCAGAATGCTGTAATCATTACTAGTTACCAGCCACTTGTGGCTTGGTGTGCCATGACACTTGAGGTGGGAACCAGCCAATTGCAGGTGTTGAGTTGCATGATGTGATTGGTTGCTTTATGTCGTCATTTACATATATGAATAATTCATTACTACTGCTCCATTGTCCTGCCAGCCAATCAGTTTTATTTTTCATCAAATAATCAATACTAAACCAGCTAAAAGGGGTCGTACTTGCAGGGCTTTCCTGCACATATCTCATCAATAGCTCAATGGTTATACAAAAACTGTATATTTTTTTTATTCCCTGTGATAGCATTTTTTAAATTGCTAAGTCATTTAACTTATCGGTAATACGTTCATCCAAGAGTCATAGTTGTACTTGTAAAACATTAATAAGTAAATCATTATAAAGAAAGTCCAGATAAAAAACAAACTGGGTGATATGTATTTATCTTCACACCTTGGAATGATTGATAGACGCAACACTATGACTGAGTTTCCCCAGTCTTTTTTTGCAAGTTTGCGGCGTCCCATTCACAGTAACAGTGACAAGAGACTACAGTAGGCTTATTTAAAAAAAAAAAGTGTGATTAAAAAAATCAATCTTTTCACATTCAGCGTATGTTGATTATACTAAAACAGATAGATGCCCATCGAGAGACAAGTGTAGCATAAACAAAATAATTTAATTGGCTGTGGTCTCAACTCTAGGTGGCGCTATACAATGTACAGTATGTGAAAATCTACATCTTGTTTTAACAAGTTCTTGTGATGGTGGATCTGAGAGCACCTCAAGTCAGCACAAAGTTTTATTGAATGGTTATTGTCTAAATTATTATGTAAATTATATAATTAATATGCATGGTTTCAAGTAAAATTGTAATCGAATCTATGCATCATCTAACATCTATGCAACCATTGAAGTAAAAGACAGATGGTAGCATCGGAAATGATCTTGGGTATCAAAAGACATTCAGACAAGGGCTCAAACCAGTTGTAACGTCTGTCTTTTACCTCCTTGTTAGTTTTATTGAAAAATCTGATGGAAAAATTCCTGAGTGGAACATGCACTCATAAAGACTGAAAAATGAGAAGACTCTTGATGTATGCTTTATATACACTGGGGTAAAACAATGTTATGCTTTCGTGAGCTACAGCACTGGGTAAGCCAACACTGAACTCTGAAGATAACAGTTTATGAATATTCATAAGGAAGCAGCGTTTCGTTTTTGTATAATATAAAAAATATCATTAGTCTGGCGATTTTAAAGTTTGTATCCCCACCCCCATAAAAAAAATCGTGTATACAGCATCTGACTCCAGATTTGTTCATCCTTGTAAATTTTGAATATTTGTATACATTCTCTCAACCAAAGGCCTTATTAGTTGTGAAGTAATGTGGGTTCAGGTGTATATAAATTGTGTTCAGGCAACACAAAGTACAGGCAAAAATTTAAGCTATATAATCTTGTATGTTTGCATATCGGTAAGATCTAATTACATTCACACAGGGGGAAACAACGATTAGTACGGGCTACGGTATGCCTAAACTTGTTAGGAATAAACAAATTTATAAAACAGTTTATCAACAATGACCATGGGTATAATACCCCCACCTCCACCCATGAAGACTTGACACGTAAAATATAGATCCTGTTTATTCTGAATATTTTACATATGCACAGCAAGTGCACTTTGTTACATACATTGAAATAAATGTTTTGTAAATACAAAATTAAAATGTGTAGTACAGGGCTTTTTATTGTAGCTTTTAAGGGGATAGACTCAAAAATTGCCATAAAGAATCCAAATGTGGTTACTGGAACATATACTGGAGGAAATAAGGAGAAAGCTGAATAGACACATTGCAAGGTACTAAAACAAGTCTATGTAAGAAATACCAGTGCCACTATCGGCAGTGACCAGTGCCAGCAGTGCCAGTATCAGCAGTGCCATTATCAGCAGTGCCATTATCAGCAGTGCCATTATCAGCAGTGCCCAGTGCCATTATCAGCAGCGCCCAGTGCCATTATCAGCAGCGCCCAGTGCCATTATCAGCAGCGCCCAGTGCCATTATCAGCAGTGACCAGTGCCATTATCAGCAGTGACCAGTGCCATTATCAGCAGT